TTCCCCCCCCCTTGGCGGGAGCCCAGCCCCTGCCACGGCAGCCCGAGGCAGGTGCCCAGGCGTCCACAGACCCTGCCCAGGGCTGGGTCGGTCTCTGCTGTCTGGTTCTGCGGTGGTAACCGAGGGCCCAGCACTGGTCTGGCCCAACGTGTGTCTTCACCACTTCTTGCTGCCCCGTTCACAGCAGGGAACCCACGGCACGGACATCATGGCCCACCCCAGGCCCACCAAGGGATTCAAGCACCGAACTCTTTGTTTCTGCAGCAGCAGGATGCAGACACCTTGTTTTTCACACCAAGGCCTAAGGTGATTCGGGCATCAGTCCAGAAGGAAGCACGGCTTCCCTCCGGAGCAACCCCCGGGCAGGTGGCACAGCCTGCAAGCATCTGGGCGCGACGACCCCGGAGAGGGAATCCGTGTGGGCAGGAAGGAGCGTGGCAGGGGTTCGCCAACAGGCAAGGGATACCTGCAGCAGGAGCGTGGCAGGGGTTTGCCAACAGGCAAGGGATACCTGCAGTACTTCTCCAGCATGAACTTGGACAGATCCTGCAGGATCTTCTCGCTGTGCAGAGCCACAAATTGCTGCCGACAGATCTGATCCAGGGAGCAACGGTGAGTCGCAGGTTAACAGGCTTTTCCCCCTCCTTCCCCTCAGTGCTTCGCAGCCAAGACAGCTCAGAGGAGAGGGGCAGGGAAAGCAGCGGGCAAGGGGGGGAAGGGGGGCTGCCAGACAAGGGGGGGGGGAGGTGGGAGGCAGAGGCCGTACAACAGCCCTCGCAGCACGCGAGGGGAAAGAGCCCAGGGCAGGACGGAGGCACCGACTGCCAGGCGCTGTGTTCAGCACTGATTTAGGGCCACGGATCCACCCTCACACCCTCCCTGAAGGGTGGGAGATGGGGCTATGGCACCGGGAAACCAGCTGCAAGCGCCAGCCAGCCCCAGGCTCACCTCGCCTGGGTAAATCAGTGAGCCTACGGAGCAAAGCCCGGGGAGGGGAGGGCTGGCAGGGGCCCAGGGGACAGACCCCTGCTCACACGGGGCCCCGCGGACGCTTTTACCTGGTTCATGACGTCCACAGTGAACGCGTGAGTCCAGTAGCAATCGTGGACCGAGACGAAGGTCAGACCCTGCCTGGGGGCAGCAGAAGGTGCCATGAAGCAGTGCCGAGGCCCCTGTCTGCGCTGTCCCCTGCCCCACGCAGACCCTCTTGCAGGGACCGCGCAAGGAGGGGAACTCCCTGCACAGCACCTGCGTGTCTCCAGATACAGCCAACCCCACCGTCCCCCCGTCCCTGCCCTGCTGCCTCCTCTCATCCCTTCTCTGCCAGAAGGCCCCAACGCCCACCGACCAGGGGAACCTCCTTCCCACGCCACCCTGTGCCCTGGGGAGGCTCTCCCAGTGCAGGGTGAGTCCCGGAGCCAGGGAGGAGCCCTGGCTGCCCGCTCCCCACCTGAGGCAGTGCAGAGCTGTGAGCATCATGTGTGTGGAGTCCAGGGAGTGGATGAAGTTGGGTGGGAAGGCGTTCTTCTGCTTCACTGTATCAGGCTTCCTGCAACACAGCACAGGCGATGTGAGGAGCTGAGGCTCTTCCAGGGCCAAAGATGAGAGTGCCAGCACAGAGCCAGAACAGCCAAGATGCAGGGTTGATGGGGGCAGCCCTGGAGGGCCCCCAGGTCAGCTGAAGCACAGGGCCCCACTCCTCCAGCTGGCTTCCTGCAGCTCGGGGGATGCCCTAAGCTTCGGCACACACTGGCAGCTTCCACTGATGGGAAGGCTTTGTGCCCAACGCAGAGGCTGGGGACAGCACGGGTTCAGTAAAGACCATGGTTTCATACTTACTGGTTGCTGTTGAAGCTTTTCACAGTCAAGTTCTGCATGCTGCAGTTCAGCTGCAGGGAGAGAGAAAGGGGATGAGCTGTCACCCCGCACTGCCCAGCCAGGAAAGGCACCCGTCACTGCCCCGTGCTGCTGGGGAGGTGACTGTGCTGACCAAGAGCTACTCTGCTCTGCAGGAAACAGGGGGCCTGGGCAGGGACCTTTCCAGGGCACCCCAGCCACCACGGCAGCTGTCACTCCTCAGTGCCACCTCGCCTGCTTCCCCTCCCAGGGCTGCACCCTCCAGCCCTGCCCAGCACCACACTGGTTCGGCCCTGCGAGGGCCACGAGAAGGGCTGTGGGGGTGAGCGGCTGCGAGGACAAGACGGGCTGAGGAGTCGTGAGTCAGCGCAGCAGCGCGTGGGAGGCGAGAGCAGCAAGACTGAATCACGCGAGCCCCGAGGAAGGCTCCTCGGCGCGGGGAACGGGCCCGTGCCCCAGCTGCCTGAGTGGGATGGGAGCAGCAGAGCTTCCTCAGCAGCCCACCCACACACTCTGGTCTCCGCAGGGAGCGACGAGGATGGAGGATGTGCCTGCACACACGAATCCTACCTGCTCTGCAGGCTCACCCGTAGGTGATGCCAACCCACCAGGCTCCAGCTCACTACCTCAAAGCCCGGCTGTCCGTTCCCTGTCCCCCACCACGGCAGACAGAGGGGTAGATGAGTGCTGCACACCAGATACTTACCACAGTGGACTTGGACCGATAGTAGGGCTGCACGATGGGGAGACCCAGCGGCGTGACCCACTCCACCGTTCGTCCCGACTGGGCGATGAGCTTGGCGCTCTCCGTCAGCCAGTTCTTTAGCAGAGGGAAGTGGGAAAGAAAGTGACTGGAGTTACTGTGGGCAGCTGGGAGACTCCATCCCCTCCCACCACAGGCAACCCTGACACCCACCACTGACTGTGACAGTCCACCACTTACGGGCAACTGTGGCCCTGTACCAGGCACAATCCCACACCTCTGGGCTGGACAGGAGGATCCTCTCTGGGCCAGGACCCAGAAGAACCACCTCTCCCCATGAAGCATCCCCTGGTCTACGTATGGGTGGTCCAGGGAAGAAGAAAAGAGAGAGAGAGATAAGAGGCAATAGGCACCCTACCTGGATATCTCGAGTTGCTGAGAACATCTCCTTGATGCCACTGAACACCCGCTTTACGAGGTAGTGAGATGCTTCCCACAAGTATTCCTGCACAGACCAGAGGAAGAGTGAGGGGTCAGGCAAAGGTGCAGCAAAAGATGGGGAGCAAAGTGGTGGGACCAAGGGTAAGCTAAAAACATCTCCCTGCTCCCTGGTGCCTCACAATTGCCTCCATCACAGACTGTGCTAAGCCTTGAGCTGCTGCAGATGGCTGCGGGTTGTGATGGAGGGAGGCTGAGATCAGCATTTCAGGCAGCTCCTTGTCCAAGGACAGGCTGATCTCTGTGAAACGTCCTGCACGAACGGGAGGCTCTCGCCGCCTCATCTGCCCCCCGGAATGTAACACAGCAGAAACACTCCACCCCCCGCCCCCCCCCCTGCCCCAGCAAATCAGCCACTCAGCAGGGACGGACTCGGCGCGGTCGCAGAACGAGAAACAGGCGTGGGGAGGACGGAGCCTCCAAGAGCTCGGCTAGAGACAAGGGCCACTTCCCGAGGGAAGAGCACAGCCACGAACCTTGTTTGTCACCTGAAACACCAGCTGAGGCTGTCGTGCCACCAAGCTGGGCCCAGGAAGGACGAGGAGCAGCCCCACCTGAAGAATCCTTCCCCATCCCCAAGTGCTGGCTGACAGCTCTCCTGCAGGCTGGGCCAGCCTGC